GGGGGGGGGTCGCGGAAAGCGGGAACACATTATGCAAATGTTGGAGGAATTTCTCAAAAAGCGATTTAGCAAAGACACAGGCGAATCAAGAGGAGGCGAGGCCGGTATTGTCCGTCTGAATAGGCGTTGATAGCGCCGATGCGCCGGGGGCTGTGCGGGAGCAACACTGAGAATCCCGACACCGGGCCGGTCCCGGGCGCGCCGAAAGGCTGGAGGGTGATTTTTTCCCTCTTCTTGGACCCCTCTCTTTTCCCTTTTTGGTCTCATTTCCACCCCGATCTTGCCCCCTTTTGCTCCGGATTTCCCTTGGACTGGCCCTCGAAAGGCGCCTGAATTCGTGTCAATATCGCCTCTTCAATTTCTCGGCGCGTGTCGGGCCGGCGGGCAGGCGGATGCTCCCGGCGCTCGGGGTTTTATTTTCCTCAACCACCAGCACCACCACCACCCCCATCTCCTTTTTATTTTCTTTCTTTCTCTCTTTTCTCCTTTTTGCATTTTGTGCCGAGGAGGAGGAGAAGGGAGCGAGGAAGGGGGGTGGGTGGAGAGAGAAAAAATTCGATTTTTAATTACTACCATTAAAAAATCAAATTTGCAATTCTTTGGGCGGCCTGATGGATCTCACTGATTGACAGTTGGAATTGACACTCTGGCTACCTCTTATCTTGGGCATTCACGACAATTTCTAATTGCAGGTAGTTTGTGTGTGTGCGCGTGTTTTTTTTTCCCCCTCAGAGGCTTGGATTGCAAGGGAACTAAGCGATTACTTCAAGAGCCACGGGTTAAGTGCAGGGAGAGGGGGAGAGAGAGGGAAAAAATCCAATCCAAATTCAAATTGCTTCATTAGAGAGACACCGCTTTTGTGGGGAAGGGCTTTAAATGCCCACTACAAAGTTAGGACTCATTGTTCGGCGCCGGTTTATATAACAGGCGCGGGGAGGCGCTGGGCTCAGGCTGCACCGAGCCAGTTCTGCAGCCGCCGCCGCCTGCATTCCCTCCCCCCTCCCCCAGGTGATGGCCCAGCCAGGGTCCGGCTGCAAAGCGACCACCCGCTGTCTTGAAGGGACCGCGCCGCCTGCCATGGTGAGTCCGTTCGGCTCTGCCTCGGCCCTCGGTCCCCCAGCAGCCCAGGCCTGGGCACCTGGCCCGGCTTTCCGGCAACTAACCGCTGCTCAAGCGCTGGGGGATTCCCGACCGGCGCCGCCCCTCTCTGAGCCTTGATTTTCTGGCCAGGAATGTGGGCTCTGGCCGCTTCCCGCACCCAAGATGCGCGTGTTAAAAGTTGGGGCCGTCCCTTCCTCTCCAATAGGCCCTTTCATTCCTGTCCTCCTGCCTACAGCGCGGCACACCAGGCAGATTTCGTTGTCAGTTGATGCGCAAAGGGTTCGGATTTGTCCCCCAAGGCAGGGTCAATTCTGGGTGCCCGGCTCAGAGCTCTGCCCTTTCTCCCCTGCTGCAGGCTCAGTCAGACGCCGAGGCTCTGGCAGGCTCTCTGGACAAGGAAGAGGGTCGGGCCTCCCCGTGTACGCCTAGCACCCCGTCTGTCTGCTCGCCGCCCTCTGCCGCCTCCTCCGTGCCGTCCGCGGGCAAGAACATCTGCTCCAGCTGCGGCCTGGAGATCCTGGACCGGTATCTGCTCAAGGTGAGTCAGGGGAGGTGTTGTGTGTTTGTTGGCGGGTGTGGGTTGCAGCCCAAAGAACTGTAGGAAAGCTGTGCCGGGGCCAGATCCACTGAATTCCGAATCCTGGCTCAGTCACTGCCCTACTGCGCGGCTTTGGGCAAGTCTTAGGGCCTTTCTGCGTCCCAGGTTCCGTCTGAAAAGTGGGAAGAGTGTATTTCCATTTCCTTGAGGCTCCGTGTTATCGAAGAAAAAGGGGGGAGTCACATGCGCCTTCTGAGCTTCAGCGTTTGTGCCTGCAAATGAGAACTGGGGAGGCTGGGGCCGGGCATGAAAAGAGGCCCGCGCTGAATCGACCCCCATCCCCGCCCCCTCCCCAGGTCAACAACCTCATCTGGCACGTGCGGTGCCTCGAGTGCTCCGTTTGTCGCACGTCGCTGAGGCAGCAGAACAGCTGCTACATCAAGAACAAGGAAATTTTCTGCAAGATGGACTACTTCAGGTAGGCTGCGGCTGCCGGGTCTGCAGTGTGTCCTCAGGCAAGCCCCGGGCGCATATGCAGGGCCACTTTTGTGGCGTGTGGTTTTCAACTCCGGAGCCCTGGAGTCCCGAGTGCCTTCCCGGCGCGCCGCACTGGTCCCGCCTGCCGGCTTTCAGCACGGCGAAGCCAAAGCTCCAGGCCACGCGCCACTACTCGCACAGGTTCCGGTCGGCGTCAGCTCCCGGTTCCGGCGCTCCGCTGGGCTTTGGTCGCACCTCTGGCTCCGTCTTGGGTCTTGCCTGAGTTTCAGGTTCTAGTTCTGACCTCGGGCGCTGCAGTCGAGCTCTGACATCCGCGGCTCAGGCTCCAACCCGCTGGGATCCCGGCAGTCAGCGGAGTGCATCCCCAGCGAGCTCCGGCCCTGGTTCCAACCTTACTGGGACTCCAGTTGTGCGGAGGCCCGTCCTGGGAGGGCCTTTGACTCTGCCCGGGGCTCTGAATCGGGTTCAGAGCTGATCTGGCCCCAAGCACTAGCGCCGCATTCATCTCACATCCTAACCCATATCCAAGTGCCTCGTCCTAAACCCCAACCTTGGCCTCTGGCCTCAACTCAAGCCCACGTCGCTCAAGTGTTCGCAGTTCGAGTATGGGGTCTTGCCGGTGTCCCAGCTCCGGTATAGTTTCCGGCCCCGGATTCAGTCTTTACTGGTTATAGGCTCAGGCTTTGGGCTGCAGGGACGCGAATGGAGAGTAGGGCGCCACAGCCCAGACAGCTGAGTAGGAATACCTGGGCCACTCTCTCCGCGAAGCAGTGCCGCGCTGGTCCCCGCAGCTCAAGATCTCCGCCAGTTGCATCCTTCCGCTGCGCCGCTGTGTTTCAGTCGCAAATGCGCGCCTCACTGCTACCCGCGTAGTCTGGCCTGACCCAGTCACGGGGTCGAGGTCACTGAAGTGTCAGGGGCGCTGCGACTGTCTGCAGGATCTTGAGGGTGGGTGGGGGGCGTATGAACCAGGCCTGGTTCTCTGGTGGCCGGGTGTGGAATTGGTTCCTGGGAGGATCGTCTCCCAAAGTGCTTTCTCAGGAAGTGGAGAAAACTGTTCCCCTCTATCACCACCCCCTCCCAACCCACATACATCCTTCCCCGCCTCCGGAGAGGTCACAATTTCAGACTTCCTTGAAAAGACCCCAGCCCCAGAAAGTCTCTGAGGGTAGGGAATTTGGTGGATGGTAATGCCTCCACCAAAATTGAGCCTCCAGGGACCTGGAATGAGAAGACCTTGAGTCTAGGGAGGAAGTAGGCAGCATTTAGAGCTGGGAAAGCCTTGAGAAGCATGGTTTAAACGACTCTTTTTGTGATGGGTATAGAAGAGCATGCAGTCAACGTGTTTTGTCTGGGGGATAGGGATGCTCTAGTAGGTGTGTATTGTCTGGGATCTGTGCAGAGGTACTGGGGAATGTGTTGTCAGCAAGGTCAGGAGTGTGTGCACAAAGTGTGTGTTCCTTTTTATAGAGAAACATTTGTCTTTAGTTCAAGCATATGCACAAGGTGGACAGTACAGGGTCACACCTGGACCAGGATCTGTAAGAAGGAGAGTGAGGTCTGGTGAGAGAATTCTGAAGCCATGTCTCTCCCTAACTCCACCTTTTCCTCTGAGGGGACGTTCCTGCTTATGGCCCTCCACCTGGGGAACTGAAGGATGAAGGGTGTGAGGTCAATGTGTACTTGTATCTGCCAGCTGCTGTGTGCTTATTTAGGCAGAAGGGGGTTGTTACTGTGGTGTGTAACCAGAGTGCAATATCTCCTCCACGGTTCCATTTGACTCTTGGTTTGGCTCCGGCAAGAAATGGAGGTACAGTCACTGTCTAGCCACCTCCCTGTTCTAGGCCTGACTCCAGTTGGGGGGTGGGGTGGGGTGGGGAAGCTGCTGTTTGGGGGCATCTTGAAATCATCAGCTACCAGGGAGCTTGGGGAACCCAGCAGGAAGGAGCCTAGGTGCTCCTTTGTAGAGTGAGGCTGGACAGGACACCTGTCCTGGCTCTCCTAGTGACAACAGGCCTGGCACCCTTACCACTTGTCCAAATTTCTTTGCTGCTTCTCCAGCCCCAGTTCATGCCCAAGCTGGACTGAGCCTCCTTGAAGGTCAAAACTAAGATCTTGATTCCATTATTCAGAGCCTCCACTGATTCCCTGTCCCACTGCAGTGGGGTGGAGGGTAGGGTGCCCGGCCATTGTGGGGAAAGGGAGGACACTGAGTCCTGTCAGGCCAGGTGACCTTGGGCAAGTCACTGCATCTCTCTGCTCTGAGTTCTCCTTTTTCAAGATTATCTCCCTGAGCTGCTGAGTAGGCCACTGAAGGAGCCACCATAAAGGCTCCCTAAATGGTAGTGTCTAGGAATGCCTGATTACTGTTGTCACCACCAGGCACAGCCCATGATGGCACTTCCCCAGGCAGCTTGAGGAGCAGAACCTGCCTGAAATGATGAAGCTGGGTTGTTTCTGGGCTATGGGTTCTGAGCACTAATCCTTTTCCAGTGACAAGAGGCCCCCAAAGCAAAACTAAACCAGATTTTCACTTAAGAAAATGAAGGGGGGAAACCTCACATTCCCAGGATGAGAGTAAAACTGTGGCTTTTCTGATCACTTCACACACACATCTCCCCCACCCCAGATCTCTTGGGCAGCCCCGCCTATAACAAAAATAATAAAGCCCACAGAAAGGGAAAGAAAAAGAAATGTTGGGCAACACTGATTACTGTGAGGAAGCTTCTCTGAGAGAAGGTGTGTGGGAGGCAGAGTTCCCTTTCAGGAACTGAAGCTCAGGGAGGTGCTGTGCCCTGAGACTTTCTAGCCTCTATTTCCTGGAGCTGGGGCCCAACCATCCGGTAGAATGTGGACTAGAGCAACATGGTGCCCAAAAAGAGACCCAGGGTTTCCAACAGGATGAAGGACAGTGGGAAGGAAGAGTGACTGATACCCCATGGAGAGAGCACTTGGGGTTCCCGTAGTTCTCTAACCTTTGATTTTGTCCCACCCCCCCCAAAGAGTTCTCCTTAATTCTAACTCCTTTCTGTCTTTGACATCATCTTGTAAGTCCTCCTTCAGTCTCCATTGGCAGAGCCAGTGTTGGTGGCTAAGAAGTTAGAGGTTAGGAAAAAACTCCAAGTTCACTCTGGAAGGAGGTCACAGAGCCTTTGGGGGAGTCAGGGAGGTCCAGTACTATTCCTGGCTCATTTGCATTGCTGGGGTGTAGGTGGGTTGTCCATTGGCTGTGTTTTCTTGACCAGGCTGCTGGACCTCTGTGCCTCAGTTTCTCTAGTTCATTCTCCAAACAGGGACCTCACCAGCCCTTGTGGGTTCAACCTGATTCCCACCTCCTCTCAGTCTCAGAGAGTTCTAGCTGGAAAAAAAATTTCCCGGCGGGGAATTTTGTTGGGTTTTCTTTTTTTTTTCATGGTTGTTGTTAAGACATTTTTTTCCTGATTTTTTTTTTCCTCCCAAGAAGTGAAAAAGAAAAAATTCTGGGGAGAAATAGTATTCCTTTTGGGGGCATTCATATTTCCATTGCCATTGCAACCACAATCCAGAACAGCTTTACAGGGCCCCCTCTCATCCACCTACCTGCAGCTGTTGCCCCATAAGTAGAGCATGGGCTGATGGCAGTGCCTTCCTGGCTCTCTCAGCCTCCTGGAGCACCATGCCTACTGTATAGCTGGGGAGACTTATGTCCTGGTAGAGTGGAAAGTGACATAGCCAGGGTCACACAGTTAATGAGAACATGAAAGCCGATCAGCACAGGAGTGAGGTCACCTGCCATCAGAATACATGCCTAGGTCAAAAGAGGATTAGGGACCCAATGAGCAGAGACCCGCAGTCCAGGGGAAAGCTTTGCATTGCTGTGCTTACAATCTACCTGCTTTATCTCATTTAATCCCCACGTTCAATCTGTGAGGTTTGATGTTCTCATAATCCCCATGTTATAGGAGGGGAAATTGAGGCCCTGAGAGGTGAGGTCATGCAGATAATAAATAATAGAACCTGGATAAGCCCTGTGGCCACCTAACTCCACTATGTCTGCCCCTAAACATTCCCAAATTTTTCTTCCATAGGCAAGATATGTCAGCCACCTCTTTGCACATTGTGGGGCCTGTGGCATGGCAAAGATCCCTGTCTACTTGTCCTAAGATTCTAGCCCAGTGTGTTTGACTTTACATAGAGAGCACCCAATGTGTGCTCAAATGTATGACTCTCCCTGGGTGGCTCTGGGAGCCCAAGAGCAGGGATAACTTCTTCAGAGGCTCTAAGTGGCACAACTTTGCCAAGGCCTGCTCATCCCGGCTGGCCCTCTTCCCTTCTGACAATGGGAACGGGGGACAAAGGGTTAACTGCCTCCCCTTGTGTTTGTAGGGCGGGGTTCTTAGAGTGCCAAGGCCTCCTGAAGTTCCTGCTCCCTGTTCAGCCACAGGACAGAAGGCAAATCCCCAGCCTTCCCCAGTCTCCCACCTTGAGAGTCCAAGCTCTGTGGATTCCATCCCTCTCCCAGAAAGAGGGTCCCAAGGGAAGCCAAGATCCGGAAAGTGGCCCCCCACTATGGAGAGCAGCACAGCGGCTGCCAGCTGTTAGGGGACAGATGTTGGGGGAACTGCGAGAGGATTTGGGGGGAGGAGCGTCAGGACGGGACCTCCAAGGAACTGGCCGTTTTAACCTTTTAATTGCTGGTTTTGTTTTTTCTGACTTCTCCAAAGGGTTTGCCTAGAAGGGAAGGAGCAGAGGGAATGGAAAGGGCTTCATTTCAACTCTCCTTGTTCCCCTCATAGAGTCTCTTGAAGGCTATCCATCTAGTGAGCATCTTGAACTCAAAATACATGAACTCAAGTTGGAGTTCCATCACCTTGGCTTCCTAGCTTCCCAACATTAGCGCTCCACTTCGATTTCCTCATGGAGGAAAAAAAAATGGGGGAAGAGATCGGAGCAAAACTCCAAAGCGCTCATTCATAGAGCTTCATTCATCCAGCAGATGGTCACAAAGCATCAACTAGGTATCCAGGGAAAGTAAACCTGGAAAGCAAGCCTGATTTTGTCAAGGACACACAGCTCCCGCTCAGCACCAAGAATATCCAGATCTCTCTACTCTCCATGCAGGGGATAGAGGGCTTGACCTTGTGCGATGCTTATGCTACTCCTTTCAGCACTTGCTAGGATGTGCAGCATCTGTCGGATACCTCTCCATCCCCAAAGCGCTTCTGTGCTTTGCGTCTTTGACTCTGGCGCACTGGGACCCAGGGAGGGGCGCGCATGGCCCAGACCTTGCAGCAAGGCTGGGTGGCTGTAGGCGCGCCCCCTAATCCCTTTGGCGCTCCCTTCACAGCTCGCGAACACCCCTTTCTTGAAGTTTCGTTGTCTCCACCGCCGATTTCGCTGCTTCCGGAATCCGGCGGCTCGAGCCCCGCAGCCCGCCTGAGAAGGAGTCTGTCGGTTTGTCAGAGCCTCGATCCGTAAGCCTCCTCGTGCCCTTTGTTTGTGCCGCTGATCCCTGTCCTGGGTGGGGGACACACTGCAGGAAGGGCCCTAACGCATCCAAACCTATACAATGACACCCCCCCATCCCCATTCCAAGGATTCAGTGCAAGGATGATTTCGTTGACTGGGACGTGTCACAGCGAATG